TGGATATAAATATCAGCATGTTTCCCAAATCATAGATCTGCTTTATCAGGAAACATTAAAGGTACATCTACCATATTACATTAATATTAGCATTATTGACACGTTTAAAACCAATTTAAAACATTTTATCATAGGAATAAGAAGGCCATGTAATGGACCAAAGACTTACCATTGAAATGGAGATCACAGGGGATATAAAAGGGGATTCTGAGCCACCAGAGCTAACATGAAAGTAATGAACTCTCTGTACTTATTAATTTCTACATTCTATTCAATTGTAGTTTTCACTCCCAGAGGGGCTGCTAGAAATAGACAGGTCCGCCTAACCTGTTTAGAGGCTTCCAGCCCAGGTATCAGTTCCCAAGCACACAGACAAAACACAGGCTCAGTCTACAGTGTCTTTTTGAAGATTTATTGCAGTACTTGAACACAAGCTAGTAGAGGGATGGTGCAATTCTTCAAAGCGTGTGCAGGCACTAGAGGACAGATTCTTAAGTAAAGTCCTTCAGTAGCAGCCTTAAGTAATGTTGGAGGCAGAGAGGACAGCCAGCTGGTTTGCGACTCTGTAAGAGCAGTCATAGACCTTGTAGCAACCTCTGGGGTCTAACCCTTAAAGCACAGGCACATCTTGAGCTCTAAGCAAAAGGTCCTACTCACAATGTCCAGAGACAGTTCCCCAAACAGTTTTCCTGTGACCAAGGGCGGACTGACAACTCATGGGGCCCCCGGGCAATAGGGGTTAATGGGGCCCCTGTGTCCTTGCACAAACTCAAAAAAGCCTATGAAAAAGGTACCAGGGGCATCTCATGGTGCCCCCTACTGACCCCGGGCCCTCGGGCAGTGCCCGAGTTTCCAAATGGTCAGTCCGCCCCTGCCTGTGACAGTCTTTATTGAAATGAGTCTTTCTCCAGCTCAACTTCCTAAGATAGTGTCCTCTAGCAAATTCTTCTTAATCCAGGCTCCACTAAGGCCTTAACCAGGCACACTGAGCAACAACAGTTCTTCAGTAAGGGCTCATGTACACTGCAGATGATAAACTGACGTTCAGGAGCTTTTCTGCATTTTTTTAGCAGCCCCTGAACTCTCCCTAATGTTTTCCTATGTGTCCATGTACACATAGTCGTTTACATTCGTTTACAGGCAGTTGAGTTTACAGTTGCTTTTTTGAATGCACCAAACTTGCGTTCAGGAGTAGATGTTATCAGCGTTTCAAACGCCAAATGCTTCCAAACACGTGTAAAACGCAGCTAACCGTGTTTATAAGCGTTTGGGTTAGAAGAGTTTTTTAACTGTTCCATATCCAAATGCTGTCCAGAGCCTTTTATCATCATCAGAAATGCATTCAAAGTGTTTTCTATGTATTCAAATGGACCCGGTACACCAGTGCAGTCAGTTCCAGGTTTTGCGTGAAGGAAAAAATGGTAGAACGTGCCGATTATGCTCATGATTGGATCCATAGTGAATACAACCAGAAAAGACAGGTCATCTCAACACATACTGCTTTCTCTGCTTCTGCTCTCTCTATTTCTCTCAAAATATCTAAAATAGTTATTTTTTACTTTTTTTCAGTGCATTCTTGGCATTTTGGAAGGTCTCCTGAGGTTATCTTAACGTGGCTAAACAGACGTTTTTTAATCTACGTTTTCCATCAGTCAGTTTCCATTGTTCAGAAGAGTTTTCCAAATGTCCTGTGTACATGAGCCCTAACACAGGCTGCCTCCCAAGGGCAGAGACCCCAGGAGAGAGAGAGCTCTGAAAAAATGCTTCCAATCTATCTTCTCCCCAGTCACACCTTCTAGGCCTTCCTCCCGGGGATTGGCTGAGGTAAGATAAATATTCAAGTCAATAACTGACCTACCTTCTCTATTTCTGGAAGCTTCTTCCAGAGCCAGGCATGAATAATCAACTACCAGGCCTAGGGATACAAGAGAAGACCTAGAGAAATAATTGTTGCTCAGCTGAGTACAACAGAGCCAAAAAATAAAGGTATCCAGCCTACAGTAGGGTGCAATAAATCCATAAATTAAACACCATTAACATGCAACATTTTGCTCAGACTTTACCTATCAGACTTCCAACAGAGCTGTCAGAATGGAATTCCATTTAAGCTGGCCATAGACTGATCAAAATGTGGCTGGTTCAGCAGAAAGCAGCTGATTTTTGATCGGTGTGTGTCCCTCCTTGTTATGCAGAACTTTGATCCTGTAGAACAGACACACTGGAAAACGTTTTGTCATCCAATGGCTGCGGCTGCTGATCAGTATATTCTGACAGTGCTGGGCTTAGCTGTCAGAATACAATGTCCCATGTGGGGGGAATTCCTACATCCACCTTGTTTATGTGGATGGAGGAATCTGTTAGTTTTTTTTTTTTTTTTGCAGTATACTGGCTAACCAAAAAAAAAAAAACTATGGCCAGCTTTAGACAGTTGTCATCAGAATAGGTGTCTTTATTGAGATTTCTCTCTATTCTTGTTTCAGTCACAGCTGTAAGAACATTGGATTTCCCATTTCGTTTTGTTCCCACACAGGTAGCAATAAAACCCAACAGGGGTTCTAACCCTTTTCTACTGCATCCGCAACTAAAAAAAGTTAAATACACTTTAAAGTGGTTATAAAGCCTAAACATTTTTTAGCTTAATTCATTCCTTGCATTAAAGTAAAACATATTTAGGTAATAGTATCCCCCCTCACCCCCTCCCCTTTTATACTTTCCTAGGGTGGATAAGATGGTACCACCAGTCCTCCTGTACAGGTCCCAGGTCAGCAGGGGAGCCCAGTCTGCTCGGTGAAATGGATGTGGGCAGGGAGTGTGATCGGCCCAGCAGTGGGGCTATTACTGGAACCGATCCCCTGTATGGCGCTCTCTGCAACAGCTGAAAGCTGGCTTCTTCTCCTTTCCCACCTGCTGGCTCTCAGCTGCTGCATAGAGAGCCATACAGGGGATAGGTTCACGTGATCGCCCCTCCACCGCACCCATCACCCTCCCTGTGCATCATACGTTTTCCCCTGCTGCCCAGGTCCCCCTGTGAGCCCCCACAGTGCTGCCAGTTTCCCTGCTCTCCTTTTCAAAGGCGTCTGCAATCACACAATAGGATCCTTCAGAATAGATAGTGGGGGAAGGGTCCGGTAAATTTGTCAGATTTACTAGCTACTTCCTTTCCTGAATGAACACAATGAGTGATTGGTACTGATCACTCACTGTGTTCATTCATAACTGAAGCATAGTGAACTTTGTTTTTTTTTTGTGGGGGGGGGGCATCAGGTTGGCTGTATGGGGCCCCATGGTTTCTAATAGCAGCACAGTACTTGAGTCCTCACTCGATCCAGCGCTGTTCCCATCTGCAGCAGCTGTCTCCCTTCACTACAGTGAATACCTGTAACAATGGAATGGGGGGGGGGGGGGGCGGGGTTGAGCACTGCTATGTGTGTCTATAGATGCAGGCAGTGGGGCTCAGGGGCAATCCCGCATGAGTACCCCCATAGGAAGCAGCTTCCTATTGGGGGCACTTGCCAGACAGGAGGAGCCAGAAGTGCCAGTGGGGGACCAGAGAAAAGGAGGTTCAGGGCTGCTCTGTACAATTCCATTGCACAAAGCATAAACCTGTTTGTTAATTAAAAAAAAAATGTTTGCATTTACAATCACTTTTAACGGAACTGCAGATTTTAAGATGTGTGTAATCATCATCACTAAATAAGGTATACATTATTATTTTTATAAGGAGAATAGGGAACATGGTTTAATTTAGATTAAATATGGCATGCTAATATTTTATTTGCTGTAATGACATACAGACACACACACAGTCTAAAGTATGTATGATGATTAAGAGAAAATATCCCACACTAACGGTCATTAAAATAATTGAAAACATTTTATTAAACACTTTTATCAGCATTTGCATGTTCCTGGCAGGGGAGCAGATTGAGACACAAAAACAGACAGTTATGATTATGGGGTTTTGGCTCAACTGTGTGCATGTATTTCTAAACCAAGCATGCACCTGTATATGTATCCAGCTCTTTTTCAGTAAATTAAAGTAAGATATCTCTCCTGAATCACTGACATGAATACTGCCTGCTAAGATTTTGCTACTTTAGTAAATCAGACTTGTGTTCTCCTAGCACCATCTAGTGGCCCATCAATGTCATATTCAGTGAACATGCACAAGGATTAATGAACTAAGAGAAGCAGATTATCAATAAATCTATTGCTGAAAATATACAGTTTCTTGTTTTTTTTTTTTTATTGAAGCAGTACAGTGACCTCGGGGGCTTACTTCAAAGTGGCAAATGACTGGTCCACCAATCCATCACTACCAAACTGAATATCTGCAGCAGGGGCAGGCTGACAACTCATGGGGCCCCTGGGCAATAGGGGATCATGGGGCCCCTGTGTCCTTGCCCAAACTCAAAAAAGCTTGTGAAAAAGGTACCAGGGGCATCTCATGGGGCCCCCTACTAACCCCGGGCCCTCGGGCAGTGCCCACGTTTCCAAATGGTCAGTCCGCCCCTGATCTGCAGCATTTATTAAGCCATAGCTCCCACCGGTCCCTGATTTTGAGGGACTGACCCACATTTGGAAAAAGTCCCTCTGTCCTCCTCATTCGTCCCTCATTTTGGTCTGATCTATATAGTTGTATATAAAATGCACTAGTCATCTATTAAAAAGTGTTTTACAATGCTAAACCTTTCATCTAGTTTCAATTTCCTGCATTTGTAAATTTCAAAGCCACTGCCAGTATACAGGAATAGTAGCGGTAAAAAAAAAGCTCTTGTGGGTTTAACCAATTCTGTTTTATAATTCTCCTTTAAGGGGGACATGGCAGGAGGTGTGTCCTATGCCTACATACCTTTACCTATAGGTGTCCCTCATTCCCACCTCAGAAATTTGGGAGGTATGATTAAGCTTCTTTTATGGCTGGATTTGTTAATGTTTTAAGTCAACCAAAACAATTTAAAGTGTTACTAAACCCACAACAGTAAAATCAGTCTGTATATGCAGTACAGCATGCTTGATATACTCACTTTGGAACCTAAAGGGTTATTCCTCTGCATTGTGCAAAAATGCTGTTTGATCCTGTCTTCTCTGATCCTCCCTTTCTTCTAGTGCCCCCCTCTTATCTCCTCATAAGACATATCATGTGGAGTCACTCTGCACATGCACAGTTTTGTGTGTATTGCTAGAGAGGTTTTTTTTTTCTTTGGAGGGTGCAAGTGATCAGCACAGGGCCAATCAGCAGGGCCAAGCCAGCTATAGACTGGGGCAGTTGCCATTTTTTGTACCAATCAGCACTGTCCAGACAGAGTTGGAGATCCTGCATACTCCTAGAGCAGAATGAACACTCCTCCTACAAGCTTTAACCAGAGCTCGGCTGGACACTGATAGAAGTCACAAGACTGCTCTAACTGCTTATGAGAAAAGGTATTTAGCAGTTTATATTTACTAAAATAATTGCATTTCCATGTTCTCTGTACCGTGGGAGACCAGATATAGTCAATGCAGGGTCCTGGGTTTAGTAACACTATAACTGCCATTTGTCAAATCTCTGAATTTCCAGTTTATGGAAAAGGTTCATTGTTTAAGCCCCAATTCATTTTTAAAGCCACTCTATCACTAAAATAAATACGTAATAAAAAGTCCTCTTTTCAAAATCAACTTGCATTCATACATACACATACTGGGGCCAATTTAGACAGGAGCCAATTAACTTACAAGCATGTCTTTGGAGTGTGGGAGGAAACCAGAGTACCCAGAGGAAACCCACACAGGCACATGGAGAACATGCATGCATACATGTGCTGCCCATTGATTAATGTGGTCAGGATGTGTGTGCCGCTTCCCTGACGATCAAAGTACATTCCTTTGTTGAGAGAGTGGCTTACCAAAATTGGCCATATTGCTGAAACAGAAGAATTGCTTCATATATCACAAGACAGACATTCCAAGTGTACCAAAACCTGAGCATGCTGGACACATTTTTGCAAGACCGATACTTACCACAATTTGCTCTCCACTGCACTATTAGCTGGTAGGAATCATGACTTGCTACAATACAAAATAGTCGCCCCTTTCCCGAGTTTCTGTCAATTTTCACCTGTGCCGAGCTACCAAACTGGAGAGGAGAGTATGGGCCCCACCTGGGATGGGCAGCCTCTCCTGCGAGTGCAAACACTTTGCACATTTGTCATCTGCTTTCCTTGCATACCCCATCCCTTTTTTCTCTCCTCTCACAATTCCCCCCCCCCTTTTTTTTTTCTTTTTTTTTTCTCCCGGTCTCCCTGATTTGATACATATGAATCAAGCCCCGATGTACTTGTTTTTCTGCTGCGTTCTTAACTGTCGCTATTTTCTTATACATTTGGCACCAGTCAAGCAGTGTTGTTATTTATTACTTTTTTTCCTGAGAAAGGTAGCACTTCTGAGGGTCTGTTCAATTGTATTGCCAGTTGTTGATCACTTTCTGTGTTTATTGAATATACATTTTCATTATTTTACTTTGACCAGTTTACTTATTTTTGTAATGTTGCCTTTGCTTACTTTTTTGGTAATATACTTGTCAGAAATGTGCAGCAACCATAGTTGCTTCCTTTTTTTTCTTTTTACTTTGTACTCTTGTGAACTCAAACCAAAGCTTTTATGGAAAAAAAGTAGTTACAGTTAGGTGTCATGCTGTCTTATAAACTCATTGGGGCATACGTATGAAAGAAAATCAGGAAACTACAAACTTATGGCCACTAGGTGGAGGTGGTGATCAGGGCTGTGGATAAGGGGGTACAATTACTGGAACCGATCCCCTGTATAGATCTCTGTGCAGCAGCTGGCTTCTTCTCTCCCTCACGCTGGCTATCAGCTGCTGCAAAATGAAGCATACAGGGGAATGGTTCCAGTAATTGCCAACCCACCACATCCATCACCTTCCCTGTGCATTATACATTTCCCAGTGCTGCCCAGGTGCCCCTGTGTGCCCCCACCCCCCGCAGTGCTGCCGGATTCCCTCATTTCCTTCCCACTAGCAACTACAAGCACACAATAGAATCCTTCAGGATGGGGAGTGGTGAAAGGGTCCCGTAAATATGTCACATTTACCATCCCTTTTCTTTCCTGAGTGAACACAATGAGTGTTCATTCATTACTGAAGCATAGTAAACTAGTAGCTTTTTTTTGGGGGGGGGCTGTCAGACTGGCTGTATGGGGCCCCATGGTTTCTAACAGCAGCCCTGGTGGTGATCATAGAATATTAACATATTGGACACATTACTGCAATTATTCATGACAGCTGTGCGAATGCTGACAGATTTGCAGAAGCAGATTTTTTTTGTAAATAGACCCCTTCGTGTAATGAGCCTAATTTTATTGCTTACCTGTTCAGGTTTGTGTGAAAAGTAATCCAAAACCACACCTATCCCCCGAGACTAGATTAACTCCACTGTTATTTAAACAGAATGACATTGACTGAATGATAGTAAAAGTTCACATATGTCACTAAATGCTAAAAATAAGTACTTGTACTTATATCACCAATTGTCTGTGATTTAAAAATTTAAAAATAACAACTGTTCAAAGTAAAATATTTTAATATCTTAATTTGCATTTAATGGCTTGTGACTGGGGCATATACTGTATACAGTATTTTTGTAATATTTACCTGTTTGCCAGGGAATGCCAGAAACTGAGCTGCCATTATCTGACTTTATACAGTATATTTGACATTTAGCAGTGGCTGAAGTAAAAAAAAAGCATCTTTAATTAAAATTGTATCCTTGGAATGCAGCTTGACCAGAAACCACAGAGGAGAGCCATAAACAGTTGTCTTACCTGAGTGCTCTCAGAAAAGTAGCTTCAGTTCTGCATACAGATGCCTACAGCTTGTTTCTTACTTCCATATAAAGTATATAACAATATCAATTCTTAGAGAATTGCTGTGGACACTATACAACATGATGACAATAGACCAATATAAAAAATATAGTTTGTGCGATGGTTATGTTTGTATAACATGCAAATTTCCAGAGAAACAACTAAATACAAACATGTGTAAAATGTGCGATTGCGAAAAGATTTGTAATTCTATTCAGCCAGGCTTGTGAACCACGCAAGCTTGTCAACCTTGCCAAACAGAACAGCCAGGTCTATAACCTCCAGAATACTTAAAGACCCAGTCTAGACTGCTGATTAGATAATGTATCAACGACACACTGCATGAATGTGTTGATCCTGAGCTTCCCCTTCATGTAAGCATGTTTACAGAGTTTTGATGTTCCTTTTTAACTGTCTACATGCTTAAATGATGATTTTGCATCTGCCTGGATTTCAGCTTTAAAGACCACTGCACAAACATACTTAACTGATCTAATGAACGCTGTTATGAATAGAGAAAACTACTTAAACAGAGCAGTAAATATGTTGAAGGGAGGATAGGCTTTCTCCAATGACCTAGTCCCCTGCACCAAGAAGGTATCCAGGACCTCTCTCCAGATTGTCTGGCATCCATTGGGAGTACTTTCTATGTCTTTGGTGGAAAAAGTTTCCCTAACTCCAGCACTGACTCTGGAAATCCACCACTCCACGGAGAGTCTGGCCTTGCCAGTCAGACACATGGGGTGGTCCAAAGACCAAGTCTGTTTGTCCCATGCTTCCAGAATGTTGAGTTGCAATGATCTCGATTGAAACTGGGCATATGGTTCTCTCTCAAAGGAGACTATCATTAGGCCCAGGACCCTCATACAGGCATGAAACAAGGGCCAGACCTGGGAATTGAGGGCCCAGGAAAGAGAATGAAAGGGACAAACGTTTGTCCTGGGCAGGAAGTCCCTGGACAGGGCCATAACCAATAACATGCTAGGTTGCCTAGTAGGAAAGAGAATGAAAGGGACAAACGTTTGTCCTGGGCAGGAAGTCCCTGGACAGGGCCATAACCAATAACATGCTAGGTTGCCTAGTAGGCAAGTTGGTTCCAATGACAGCATCTGAAAGTTTTGGATCCAACTGAATCTCTGCAAAGTCTGCGCTGTCCACTGGACATTGCATGGGGAGGACTAGTCCTTTAACCCACAAAGAAGTTCAGGGTTCCCGTTTATATCCTCTGGTTAACAGAGCAGAGCTAGGACCAGGACAAGCACTATGGTGAAAACAGGGGGCTGTGCACAAGCCAAAAGGGAGGGCGACAATTTAGTAAAGGTGAACGCCAATAGTAAAAGGCAGACAGCACTGATGTGGAGGAAAAAAAGTGAATCCCCTGAAAGGAAGGAGGCAATGATCAACCAGGCCAATTCCATGTGATACTTTTGAACTTATACATTTAAAACTGGTTATCCACTACAAATAAACAATCCAATAAGTGTCCAATCCTTGGGCACCAAGATATCACTTTCTCCCCAGAAAGTTCAATGCATTTTTTGTAGGGTACAAATCTGGAGATGAATATTTGATTGTGACGTTGTGAGAATTGCACACTGAAGGATATTGAAAAAGAAGAAGGAGAGTTCACATATGGTTACAGGGAATATTCACTGTTTGGACTCTGAGAAGGACTTTTTATACTTTTGAATTTGCAGGAATAAGTTGAGAGTTTTTAGATTTAGAATAGGCCAATTGCCTCCATTTGCTTTGGGAACTGTGAACAAGTTCAAGTACAAACCCTGAAAGCATTCCTTGTTCAGGACTGGGGCAATGATCCCCTGAGGGAGGAGCTGCAGAACAGCAAGAAAATCCACCTATATTTGCAGGGAAGGAGCAAATTTGAAGAAGGGAGGGGGAGAAGTACGAAATTCCAGTGCTCTCAACCCAAGCATCAGAGGTTTCTTGGGACTAAAAAGCCAAAAAAGCCCACCAGACTTCACTCTATTTTGACAAATGGGGACACCCCAATCCTTCAAAAGAGAAGAGGGCCTGGAGCCATACTGGCTTAAAGGTCCACATTCAACAATTTAAGTGTTTACCAGACTTAGACTTGGAGATGTTGGCCTAAATGGGACAGAAGGAACTCTTCCTAGGCTTAGAAGTAGAACGTCCACCTGCAGAAGCACAAGCCTTCTTTCTCTGGGGAAGGAGAGTATTCTTACCATTCATAATCTCATTGATGTATGATGTACTTGTCGAAGATGGGACCATACAGACATTCTCCCTGGAAGGGCAGTTGCTCAAGGTATTTCTTGCACAGGAGTTCCACTGACCAGAATTTGTGACAAAAAATTTTCTACATATGGACAAAAG